AAGTCGCAAAAATGTCTTATTTTGTGATAAAAACAAAAGTTATTTCTTCTATTTTGGAAAGAAAGCGAAACCAAACTTATTCATAAACTTTATACAATTTCAGACAAAAATTTTGATCTTGTACAGATTGCAAGCATCCTACTTTCACTTTACTCTAAAACATGTTATATATCACATAAGTCAATCAAAATATTTTTCTGAATTAGATTTTATCATTTTTTTATAAAAACTTGACGCAGTGGTAAAGTCTAACACAGATGGTTTTTAATGAAGATCTAGTTATTTAAAGTACTTTAAACTTTATTAACTTAAGATGAAATTTTAATTACAATTGCTTCACTGATTTTTTTTGATTTATTTATCTACTTTTTTGCTATAACTTATCAACAATTGTCTTCAGTTTCGACGTGTTTTTGTCTAATTACTTTATTTATAATGCTATTATTTTTAATACGTTTCATCAATTCGATTCATTTAAGATGTGTAGCGGAGAGTACTTGTTCATGTTATGGTGTGTTGGGTGGAAAACTTATGATGGAAAAAGAAAAAATTTAGGAACACAAACACTGAAATAAAAATAATTGAGCCGTGTCACGACAAAACCAACATAATGGGTTTGCGACCAGCATTGATCCAGACCAGCCTGCGCATCCGCGCAATCTGATCAGGATCCATGCTGTTCGCTTATCAACTCTATTACAAGTAGAGAAACTAATAGCGAAAAGGCTGGTCTGGATTCATGCTGGTCGCAAACCCATTATGTTGGTTTTGTCATAACACGGCTCATATGTCTCCCCTTTTGCACAAACGTGTCTTTCGGTATATCTGTGAATACAATTGTTAGCTTTAATCTTCGTTAACGGTTTAATACAATGGAAATAACTTTTTATTTTCTTGATGGATCTGTAAAATTTTAGTTTCATTCGACAGTGTGATATCTTTGCCCCATTTTTGTTTTTATATTAGAGGCGTTCAGTTATATTCAATGCATTGAAATGCTACATAGGATTTTAATTGACATTTATCTATTGCAATATCTTATTATAATTGTATGAATATAAAGTACAGTGTACGGAGACATTGTTGTGAAAAATGAATGATTAGTTCAGAGGAAGTGCTGCAGATATTTGTTTTTTAAGTAAACTTAATTGTCTTTATAAAATTGTGTAAACACAACAAGTACATAATACTTTTGCGATTAAAAAAACAGATTACAATTGCATATAAGATTGATGCATTGAAAATTCGACAATATAAAATACAAGAACGGGTAAAAAAGAAAATGGATGAAAAACACAATGTTCAGGAAATGGAAATAGAGTCAAAACATCAAAATTTAAAGAAAAGACTGAGAAATTTCTTTACATTTAGCAGCACGTGTCAGAAGAAAAACTTAGTTCAGACAGTGTGTGTATATTTCAATATCCTGTTACTGGTAAGTCATGACAGTTACTTAATGAAACATTTGTCATTATTTACACTCCAGTTTTTAAATTATTGTCAACAGTACAGTTTTTCTCTCATACTATTTTGTTTTAAAGCTTTGTTCCGGAGCATTTGCTTAGATATTTTCTCCTGTTGTGTCCTATATTTCAAAATTCATATTGTTAGTCATTAAACAAGTAAACGCTGGAATAATATTTTTCACTCAAGAACTTCAAAATTAATTTAATGAGCTCTTTTTTCGGAAAAGACACACATTACTGGATTGATGTCAAATATAATAATGGGTAATAATTTTCATTATAGTAATTTAAGAAAGAAAATAATTATATAAAAGCAATATGTACCTAAATTGAGCCAATTTGTTTATTTTAGCTACGAATTAAACGCTTTAAATGGATGATTTGGAAAATTAATCCCTTTACTTTTAATACTCTTGATAATTCCGTATCTTTCTCCTAAATTGTTTTAGATTTGGTTTAAAGCGTTTATTAAGAAAAACGCCATAAAAATTTGTGCAATTTTTAAAAAGAATATTATATTTTTAAATAATGATAGCATCAAAAAATACAAATTGCAAATTTCTTTGTCATTAAAGGGATGGACATACGGTCAACTTGGGACAGCTTTTCCTGATATACAACTGATTCTTGGAACAAATGTTGAACACACGTCGCTTTTGTTTACTGTGAATTCATTCGGCTACATGACCGGAAGTCTCACGATTGGCTTTATATATGATCGAGTACAGCGCCTTAAACTGCTAGGTAAAGAATGATATGTCGCACATCTTTGATCAAGTAATATAACGCTTAAATACCACACAGTAATGCTAAGATTCAGCAAAGTTAACCAAACATACTTAGACGTGACTTGGAAATGCTTATGTTGAGCAAGATAATGCTTGATTTATTCAGACGATGCTTAGATTTAGCAAGACAATAAGTAAATTTATCGAGACAACGCTTAGATTTAATAAAAAGGTGATGCTAAGATTAAGCTAGAAAATTCTTAAATTAGGCACGACAATGCAAAGATTTATCAATATAATGCTAAGGTTTAGTAAGACAGTGTTTAGATTTAGCAGGAAAATGCATAGAGATTAAGCAAATCAATGCATAGATTTAACAAGATAATAGGCCAATTTAGCAAGACAACACATGAATTAAAAAGGGTAATGCTTGGATGTTGAGCTGTGACAAGACAATTCTTAGATTTAGCAAGACAACGCTTAAATGTTGCAAGGCAATGCCTAGATATAGAAAAGCAATGTTTAGATTTATCACTATTATGTTTAGATTTAGCAATAAAAGGCTCTAATTTAACAAGGTAGGTTAAAGGTTAGTGACAATAAGATTTTATTACGTGGTACAACTTATATATGGCGGTTCAGAAAGTCATTGCTTACATATCGTGCTTATATATAGCAATGTCATCTTAGATGAGGCAAAGTTGTTAGATGGCTAATGCAAAAGCTCTCATCTAAAGAATATTCATTTGCAGTAAATTTACATTGACGTAGTATTCCAATTTTTTTCTTCTCCTTCTTCTTGTATAGTCAGGTTTTTCTTCAAATTTCCAAATATGCATAAGGAACTGCTTTTGAACAGGCCATTTAAAGTTTAAAGGATTTCAATATAAAAACATTTAGCTGTTAACAGTTTCGAGCATGTTTGGACTACCCGGCTATATAGGCTGACCTAACACTTTATTGTTGGCAAAGGTTTTAGGATACATCAGATTAAAGAAAGTTACTACAGTCCGCTATCGTTATAACGTCGGTTTTCTAGATGTTTCGTTATCTCGATTAATTAAGTCCCGAGTTACTTCCTTCATAGTAGATTAATTTGTTAATGACAATATGTTGAAATGATGCCATTTGTTCTATTTATTAAAAAATTTAATTCACTTATTCGCAAATGTATATGCTATTCATGATAAATAAATTATATGCAAATTCAGCTATTTAAACTCGGCATACTAATACAATAACAATTAGACGTGCTTTGAATATTCTGTCTCATTTTCAATGTGAATCGTAATGTTATGGTATAGGTATTACACGTTGTATGTTAGTGGAAAGTCGCATGATAAGATTTTCTTTTTTATCTAAACCAACTGTGATGACTGCATATTAACCTTGAATCTGTCTACTTAAAGATAAACTATGCTCACCCTTGAGTAAAATATTTTAATCACAGAAATGTATTAAAATCTATGAAATTCTTACTGAATTTGTCTTATTTGAATAAAAGAACAAACAAATTGTACATTCCCTATTACAGGTCAAATAAAATTGGTCTTTTCTTTAAAAAAAGTGCCAAATTTTAATGATTCTCTCTGTGACCACCTATAATGTGTGGAGTTTAAAACATAGCATATCTACTTTGTGCGAAGTCTAAATGTTTATTTTATATTTATAAAGATACTGTGTAGCAATTATCAATATTTGCTAATATCAAATTTGAGCATAGTATATATTTAGTTTTGACTTACTTTGTATAATTATTAATGATGTAAACTGTCTAAATGTTGGTGCATATATACTACAAATCTATAATTGATTTTGTTTTGTTTTTACAAAGGTCTCAAAGTAAGTTAAACATTTTTTGTTGAAAAACAATGTTATATGTTACATGACGTTTGTTGAGTCACACGTTTGTGTACGTCTTTTGGTGACTATTTATATAACAGTTTAAACTGTATCACATTCTAATTCCTTGACAAATATACAAAATGACATTTGTAAAAAATAAAATATAACACTTTAAGTGAAATTAGGAATGAGACAGAGAAAATATTTACGACGAAAGAATGGTTTAAGGGGACTCCACTTTGGTTTTAGGACATGACGGGACTAAAAATATTGTTCCAGAGGTTTGTGTACAAACTGATAATGGACTGCATACTAATTTTTGTTTCAATTTTAAGGTAGTCATTCCTTCTCTTGATTTTCAGGTATTGTTTTCATTATAAACGGAATAACTAGTGCGGTATCATCATGGTACAGTCAGTATTGGTTATTTCTCTTTGTATGATCTTTTGTAATTAAATACTGTACAGATAAGAGTCATTTTGTGTACACTAAGAAAACTTTTACTACTGAAGACATTTTCGTAATATTGAATTACCCAATAAACCCAGCTAATATATTCAATAATTCGATGATACATGTAATGATTTTCAGGTATTGTCTCCATTATAAACGGAATAATTAGTGCGATACAACCATGGTGCAGTCGGTATTGGTTATTTTTCTTTATACGATTTTTCAGGTATTGTTTCCATTATAAACGGAATAACTAGTGCGGTATCACCGTGGTGCAGTCAGTATTGGTTATTTCTCTTTGTTCGTCTTGTCGATGGGTTTCTAGCGGGAGGTAGGGACAGCGGTAAGTAAAAATATTAACCGTCTTTCTCCATGAAATATGTTACAATTATAATGATATTTGAAAGTAGAGTGAAGTTTATCTCACAATCTAACCAAACAAGCCTTCTAGAGTATCTAATAAATAGTTAGATATATTTAGATAACATAAGAAATCAAGTCATATTTTTGAAATTGGGACAATATCACTTTTTAATCTCTTCATTTATTTTACACTGTCAAACTCAATATGTATGACGACCATACTTTTCTAGACAAGTTGATTGCGGTTAGTATAATTAGGAAAGTTTTTGTCATTTGTCCGCTACCTCGATCCATGGGAATATTTATCCACTGAATATGTTTTACAAAGATTATCTGTTTAAAGATTTAACAGCCCGTATCACTTAAGATATCTTATTTTTGTACTTTTATCTGTGACATCATTTTGTCAAATGAAAAGAACAGTAATAAAGGCATAGAACCTTTAGCTAGAATATGTTGCTTGGATAATTATATTTATCGTTTTGTTTAAGACTCCTTATGCAACAGAAATGCTTTTATTTTTATTCTTGAAAAGCATTTTTTTGTCCCAGTACATTTTCCAAAAGGATTACTCATTGGCCACTTGTTTTAGCCATCTTTTCCTTCTGTTTCTTTTTTTTAGATAAGTAGTCATAGTGATTTAGCATTTTGTATGGCAAATAATACTTTGCTTACATTCTGCGGCTTTTATGGCAATTGATTTTATATAAAGCGTTACTTATTTCAAAGAAGCAATTCAGCATCTAACACGCTCTTAAACCATTATTTAAATGTTATAAACTTTGCCTTTTTATTTCGAAAACATCTATTCGTTTCAGGGGCTTAATGTGCCTTTAAATTATTATCATAATATCTAAACATTGATTGATTGTTGATCTTGCAGGTGGAAATGCTAAAATAATGTCATGTTGGGGGAATCATGGCGGGCCGTTCATGCTGGCGCTCCACTTCTCTTACTCTATCGGTGGAATAATTTCACCTCTTGTAACACGTAATTTTCTTGCGCCGAAACTTGGACAAATCGATAATAACAATACAACAATTTCACAAGGATGGAACATGTCGCACAACTTGAACTATACCACGTCAGGTGATTTCCGCAACATATCCGGACATGATGAAAAAGAACAGGCCATTTATGCTGAAACTAAAATTCAGTGGGCATTCCTAATCACTGGCGTTCTGACAACCTTGTCAGGCGTGCTGTATATCATTTTATTTTGTTACGGATATGAGAAAGTACCAACATATACAAAACCAAACGAACGTGAAAGTGGTGATCAATCGTCCTCAAAGGTTAAACGGGTAAAACTAAGCAAATGTCAGTTGGTTTTGTTTTTAATCCTATTGGGTTGCTCTGTCATTTCCAGCACTGCTGTTGAATGCAAAGGTTTCTCCTTCATTATGTCATTTGTTCTCCTCCAGTTGAACTGGTCAAAGAGTGATGGTGCTTTTCTTATCTCGTTGATGTGGACATTTTACAGTATCGGGCGTTTCTGTGGAATATTCGTTTCAAAATTTGTTCGAACTCAAAAAATAGTTATAACAAATATGATAGTAATAATAGTTTCTTCCGTTGTTCTCTATTTTGGTTCTATCTACAATATATCCGGCATTGTTTGGACAATGGTTCCATTAATGGGTGCTGGTATTTCCTGTTGTTTCCCAACATTTATGGTATGGACTCATGAAAATGTGCTTAAAATCACCGGAAAGGTTGGTGGGTACTTCCAATTTTGTGGATCTGTTGGGTGTTTTATGGATCCATTGTACATAGGGGCTTTGATGGAAAATGTATCACCTCTTTATTTTATATACTTGCAAATTATTCAAAGTGGTTTCAGCCTATCGGTATTCATTGTTATTTTAATAGGTATCGCCAGATTAAAACAAACAGTGAGCACAATGTAGCAGTTCTGACCTTGCTTGTACACTTTATTATGTTCAGTTCTGATATCAACATTCATCTATGTGGACCTCCAAAATACATGGCATTTTATGTGCAAGCTAATTTTATTACAATGATATGAATAACTTGATATATTGTTGTTGTTTTGGGGGTTGTTGTTGTTGTTGTTGTTTGTTGTTATTGTTTTTGTTCGGGTTGTTTTGTTTTTTTACGGCGCAGAAACACTACTAAATATTGTTGTAATGCTATACATGTACACCTTACTTGCAAACAGTTATTTTGTATTCATTATTAAACAGTATAAACACTATTTACTTGTCATGTGTCGTTAAATAAGTTTACGCTTACAAGTCAAGTTTTACTTCAAATTACAATATCCATCATTATGGTTTTTTTATTCACCCCTTCAGGCACTCACTCTACTGCTCAGTAATCATGTTCGTTTA